CAATCTGTTTGCTGACTGATGTGTTTTCAAAGCCACAGATTAATTGGTCTATAAAAAAGGCTTAAAAATGTTAGAGAAATGTTGGAATAAATACTTTATCAATGTTGTTGCCTAGTAAATTATTAACTTATTGAGTGATTTTAATATTAAAAATATTATTTCTTTATATTGAAAAATAAATATCAACTTAAGTTGAGTATAAGATAAAAGTGTATTACTGACTCTTACTAGAACTAATTTTCCTTCCTGCACCGCCACTTGCAATTAGTGTTTCTCTATAAACTTCTATTAAATTCTTTCATCTAGAATTTGGAATAATATTTTAAAAATTTTTGACTATATCAAAATATTCTGAGTTTCGCTTATTCACTTATCAGAATCAAAATTTTTTTTTTCTTAAAAAATAATTTGCCAATGCAATAATTTAAATTACCTAAAAAATGATTGAAGTTCAAAAAATTTCAAATAAAAAATAATATATTTTTTTTTCATTTTTATGAGTAGCTGAATTTTTCAAAACAATTGAATCACTTAACAATTGCTTCAATAGTACAAATATTGAATAACACTAATCAATGTACGAGCAGATAAAAACCGAATACCGCCTCCGGCCTCATCTTCATTTAAAATCTCACATTTAAAATTGTTACTTCCTCAACTGTTTTATTATTAGCAAAAACAATCTTTATTATGAATTATGAATAATTTTTTTACAACATAAAAATATATATTGAAGCGCCCAAAAGTGCTTCAATTAACCTTGTGGGTAATTAAAAATATATTTTTTTATGAAAATAACAAAATAAAATTAAGTGCTGAGCTGAGTACATTTTTAAGCAAAAATAAATAATACATTAAATAATAAAAACGTGAGTTACCCCGGTTTTACGATTTGTTCATCCGCATTAGAAAAAAGCTTGGTTTTTCCGAATACAAATATGAAAATCTTATTATTTTCTGAAAATAGTAATTTGTCTGATATAATTATCTATACGACATATCAACGCGAGCTATTATATTAAGCTATTGATCAATATATGATAATATTTAAAATAATTAATCCTTCAATAATATTGCCACTATTAAAAAAAACCTAACCTCTAAGGCCGTGTGCGAGTTCGAGTAAATTGAGGTAAAGTAAATTGAAATTTCCTAGGGATTTTTTGCACTGCACCTATGTAAATATTAATTTATTTATTTATTGCATTTACATATTTATTATTTTTGGTTAAAATTTTTTAAATTTATTTATTTATTTATTAAAAATCTTATAAAATTTTCACAAAGTTAATACCTAATTTACATAATTTTTATCTAATCCACCCTACTCGAAATTCTGGTAAATACCAATATTCGCTGCCATACCTACATAATTTACTATTTCCTCAATTTACCATCAATTTACTCGTACTAGTACAGGACCTAAATGTTACAAAATTGGAGCAGTCATATTAAGTACCTTATTTTATTACACATACCATATAATGTTATATATAAGGATATATACCGGCACACGGGTAAAATGCCATAGCTGTAAGCTTTATATATGTAATATAATTGTTATAAATTTCTATGTAACATAACAAATTTAAAACAAAATAAAGTAAGCAACTCTGTAATCGAACCCTACTTAACGTATAAAATCTTATGCAGTATATATTTATATGCACATTAATAATTTATATATTAATTATAAATTACAATCAAATACGACACCATAAAATGAACGACATCCTTATAAAATATCAACTGTTCAATTTCAAGCTACCTAAATATAGCCCAACTACCCATATATGTGTTTGAACACTTCTTAAATTATTTATAAGAAAAGCCTTCTAAAACTTAGAATAACAGATTACTCTAAATAAGTATTTAGATGTTCCCTTCAAACTAACCTACCATCTTAAATTCTTTATCTTTAATCTTCTTACAATAACACAGAATACCTTAATTTACATAACCTTCGCAACAAGATCGATCTATCCAATGCGAAACAATGACAGCTATGTCTAAACCAGTCGTCTCATCCCTTGTAATTACCCAGCTTTGGTACAGCCTAGGAGGACGATATGTGGAGTCGGCTCCTATTCTCATCTACAATTAGAAGCTTTTAAACGAAAGACAATCCAATTTCTTTATTCCAGTGATTCCCAACCGATGGTCCAACCGGGAGATAGTTAAAAATGATCCGTGAATCAAATTTAACAGATATGAAAATAAGTATACAATATTTCCAAATAATAATATAACCATTTTACAGCCTATATAATGTACCTACGCATTTATACAATTCATTATACATTATACCAGATACATAAAACATACTAAAATAATCATACAGTAAACTTTGTGTTCCCTGCTAAAAATAAAAATGACACTAAAAAAACTAAAAAAATTTTATCATCTGTAGGATATGCGTAATATACTCGCCATATTCATCGATTATACTAAGAATGAAAACACTATCAATAGCTAAGATCGACATGAGGTACGTATCAGAGAACTGAAATGAGTACTCAATACTCGAATCATACTCTAATCATACTCGAATCATTTTGACTATCTTTTTTGTATATTCGACTTCACCTGACTCATACATACAGCTGACAGCAGTTATAATGATTTATACTCTGCTCATATGATACTCATAAACACCGACGTTCGAAACAAAAGTGATGCAAATGATTTATGAATCATTCATGAGTATCACGTTACAGTCGGAAGAAATGTGTTTGTTGTTGTTACTGTGCATATAATTTGCCACTTAAACAATCCCTAATTTTATGCACATGAAATATTCAAGAACACAAACTAAACACAAGCAAATTTTTTGCTTAGCAAACAACAGCGTTCATATAAAAGTTTTACGAATACTACAAGTCATTTGAGTTATTCATTTTCGATGAGTATGTTCATACTCACCTGAGTACATGCTATGATTCATGAATCATTTGCAATTTATGCTACTCTATTTAGAAATGATTCATTAGCACAGACATTCGTAATAATTTTTGCGGCGAATGTGAGTGCATATAAGTAGTGTGTGAAAAAAACATTAACACGCAATAAGATTTAGTTTTTTATGAGTGTACTCTAAGTGTTAAAATTATGATTCGTTGAAGTTTTCTGGTACGTATGTCAATTCAAGTAAGTACAATAAACCAAGTAACAATATTCTTAAAGAAGTTAATGGAAGGGGTTTACTCATAATACAAAACAAAAATTAATTTAAATAATAATACCCATGATATTAAGAAAGCTATAATACTCTAAAAGAAATATGACCTCATTACTGCATTAACTTCTCAGAAATCTCATAGACTTCTATAAAAACTGTTCGATAACATCCGTATTACTCAGTGATACCAATAAGCTAACATAATTTATAAATGTGTGAAGAAAAAGAAACTTTTAATAGATGGAAAGTAAAAATTTGAAACATGAATTCTATATATTATATAAATGTGTTCTATAAAAGTAGGAATAGGAATAGAATATCAACAATAGAGGAATCATATGTATAAATTTATGTGAATTGTTTAGAGGCATGTAAGCTCGATTAAAGCATATAAATTATAAAGGAGATCTGATTTACATAATTTTATGAGATGATAATAATAACTTTCTTTTCATGAATGAATTTATAAAATTAAAAACTACTATTACTGCAATACTAATGCCGCTAAGCTTAACGCCGCAAACTACTACTAGAATGAAATTTATCATAATTCTACCAATAGAGTAAGATTTAGATCTGTTGTAGAGACTCTATGCTTCATGAGGAGAATAAGACTACAATAAGTAAGTAAGTACGAGTATATATTTGAGGTCCAAATTTCAGTTAAGGTCTCTTATGAGCTTAATAGTCACATTAGTACTATTTCCAGCTATTATAAATATTATGATAGATTATTTTATACTTATTATATTTTTATCACTGAAAAATAAAACTTGACCTGTCTAAATCGCATAGTTTGCTTTAACTGATCAGTGTAGTGATGGAGGGTCTCATACTAATATTTTATAGGTTTTCATCGAATTGCTACAATCATTAATGCATCTATTTAAAACTTGAATAGAAACGTTTTTAAGTTTATTTCCCACAAGGGATATATCCCTTGATATATTTGTCATATGTTTTACATGTGAAATGTACACAAGCAACAATTGAGCCGTTTAACAAACGTACTGACAAAGTATTTAATAAAATCTTGGTTTTTATTAATTGAATATGTAATAGATTTCTATAATATATATATGTATATCTATAAATGATTTAATATATCAATTATATATTTAATTTTTTGTGTGATATATGATTAAGTGAAGTTTTTCTAGACAGAAAGAGACAGAAGGTCTTTTTAAATTTTCAAAGATCTTTTTGACCCATAAAAGCTCTTTCACATGCAATAAGTAACTTATGTCAATGGAAACGATAAAACCTTAAAGTTACGGTTTTATGTACCACTTGAATTTATTTATAAGTATTTACTCATTCTAAATCTAAATCTATTTATGTTATGCATATAACATAAACAGCAACTACTGGTGCATATTATGTTAGATAGAAAGAACTCAGATTAATTAGAACATATAAGAAATAAATAATTAACCAACAAGTTATTGTTTATGTATGTTACATTATGTTTGTGTCTTTAATTGATTGACTTGTTAATAAGTTCATAAGTCTATTCGTTTTCAGTGCGTATGTATATATATCTAGTTCACAATTTATTATAAAGTTTATTGTTATTTTTTTTAAGATTAATCATTTTACATTATTAAACAATAAGCTACATAATAGAAGCAAAATATAGCGTTAACTAAAAATTAAAGGTAGTATGTGATTCTCAAATTTTGAAAACTAAACGAACATACTGCAAAATGTGTTTGAATACTGTAATAATATAATATCAATATATTTAAATACATATATACATATACATATTTTTTTGGTTATTTTCGCCAATAGAAACTATTTTAATAGCTGTCAAATTTAGACTTTTATTTGTATGAATCCAGACGTCATAATTCGGTTCACAGCAAAATGTGTACATACTTTTTGTATGGATTGTCTTGTCAGGTATGCAATTATAATAGTGACACAATGACATTTGAAGCAGAATCTGCTACTATTTAGTAATACAAGCACACTGTTGACAAAAGAATTGCATTTTGTAGTAATTGCACAGACGAGAAAAATATTAATAAAGTTAAAGTTGCTATTTAGACTACGCGTAAGTGATATAGAATATTTGAAGAAATACAATTAGTTCAAACATAAAATATCAAGTCAAAATTTAGTAACAATGTCTGTGGAAGTAAATGCCGAAAGTCAAAAAGAATTTACTGATGTGGACATAAATAACGGAGTCTCACTTGGTGAAGACGATGAAGAGGAGGAAATTCAAGTGCCGCATAATAATAATCAAACAGAAAATGACATGTTCCCAATAACTCCAACTGATGATATACATGTAAGTTAAATAAAATCAAGAAATGAAACCGAATTATTAATCCAATAAAAAGAACAATGGAAAAATTGTTGACACTGCAAAAATGTTATTTATGTGTTATTAATGGGCGGTGTCTATATTTTTGGTTAAGAAAATTGTTGCATTCGCATAAATCTTTTTCTTTGTATGCCGTTGTGGTTTATCGCTTTTAGTTCATTAACAATTTACACAGATTAAATGCAGTCAGCTCTATTGTTTCAGTTTTGACAATACAAAGTAATTCAATTATATATATTATTTACACAGAAATATTCTTATCAGACTTTAATATATGATGTAGGTATGAATGGCAGAAGAAATATTTAAGTATTTATAAAGATCAACATGTTTGCTATTTTGTATATATTCATATATACACAAATCTATATGTATACATATCAATTTTCATAGTATAAATATTTTTTACATTTTTTCAAATTACCAAATACTTGATCTAGACAAATAAGTATATAATATAGAAATAAGTATATAAGTAATCGTTATAAATAATAAACTCATTATTTTAGTGAGACTGGATGAACCTCTCTGAATTGCATACCGATTGCTTTAGCTGAATACCTGTTATACTAATAATTTTAAGTTATACATTTTATATATTTAATATATTTTAATAACTTTAGCATAATTACTTGCTTTTTAAGACTAGGAAAGAGTTAAGAGAAAAAATTATCCCGGAATAAAAATTCCCAAAAAAATCTACTACTATGTTTACTCTCGAGATTTTTGCGCAATTAAATTAGATAATATCAAAATTAATTTTTAAAAAATAAATAGTATGTAATATAACATTATAACATTAAGACAAATGACATTCTCAGGGACTTCAAGATTGATTCGATCAAAAAATATATAAAGGATAGAGCCCTGAAATTATTTACGAAAACTGACAGGCGTGTTATTGAATCTCAGAATGGAGGTATGCAGATCTGAGGTCAATTATTGCTTAGTCTAATGAAGTAATAAACAAGGCATAGAGAGGGGCTATGAAAAAACCTCGCAGTTAATAGAGAGTAAAAGTGATCTAGTGCACTGACTCAACTAGCCTCAACATAATAATAAAATTATTATAATGAATCGTTCAAGTAGTCACAGACACTACTAAGTAAAAGTGTCTTAGACAAGTATAAAATTAAATTAAAAAAAATTCCACACAGATATTTATTAATATATTTTCTTATTCAAATTTTCTATAAATTTATTGGTCGTTTTTCTTTGAGTGATTTTCTAAAATCATTATTTTGTTTTCACTTGATTATCTCAATGTTTCTATTAAAATGACACATGATGACAAATTAAAACACATTTACGACGTTAATTGTCGGATTGTGTTAATTTGTGACAGTATTATTGTATCATAAAAAAGAATAAAATCACGAAGATGTTTTGTATTCCTGATAATCTCATAAAAAAGACACTTGATTAGACTACAATAATGGTACCAAGAACGGCCGAAACTACGTTCCGAAACCATTCGTTGCTATCGACTATTAATGTGCCTTTCGACACCTCCCAAAGAAACTTCACAAACAAGTCCCAGCGGGTCACAACAACAACGACAACTACAAAAATATTTTACATTATTGTATTTGTTTTTTATTATTGATATATCTTTTCAATATCCAAATAAACTTTTTTCTTTCCATACTAAGTATCAAAATCGAATAAAGTTTTATAATGAAACTGAAAGACAAGCTTTTATTAATTTTTTGAAGCTATACGAATTAAACTCCAATTCTCAAGAATTGTTAAAATGAAGTCTATTGCAATCAATAGATGCAGAGGGATCTTAAACTATTATATGCTCTTTATAAAATTGCGGAAACATTTTACAGATATCACACCGTTTTTCTACAATTCACCTGTTAAGTTGTCTACTCATTACTTCTTTTTTTAATGAAAACAGCATAAACTAGTTAAAGCGAATAAGTTTTAATGAATATAAATTCGTGCGTTTTTGTCGAAATTAACAATAGATGATTCATTTAGGAAAAAAAATTTTTTTTTTCATTATAATCTATTGAATTAATAGATACAGATCATGATACTTTCTTAAATACTAGGTATTCTTATATAAAATCAGTATTAAGTGACGTTTTTATGTCCTAGATCAGGTTTCTACTTGTTTCTAATCTATCACAAATAGGCAAATTTTTCTTCGATATATTTTAGTAATATTACATTACTTTATTTTTATCCCAAATAAATGATTTCAAATGTTTTAAATAATTTATTACACTTCACGTAAATTTACTTAATCGACAAAGATAACGTTCCACTTTATCCAATATATTTTAGTAGTAAACTATTCACAGGATCGGGAGAAAAACTAAGTTGTAAATAGTAAGCAGAACTTGGTCGTTTATGTAGAGATGTTGCTTTGGGGCTGAGCCTCAACCGCTGCTAGTGTTCACTTTGTTTACTAAATTAAATGTAATGAACTTATTATATTTATTAACATATCTTGTATTTAATCTATATTTTTCTAATAATTATTGTTATAGCACATTATAAAAATATTTATTTTTTTACAGCGCCATATCTCAAACAGTAATCTCCAAGAAATCATGACAGATAATGGTGATTATTTTATTGAAATAATCATATCAGAACCCCAAAAAGTTGGTGATGGTATTAGCTCCTACTTAGCTTATAAGTAAGTAATATTTTTTTTTTATAAATATAACTAACTCTAACTTAATACCATAGAAATATTCTTGGAAATAACAAGTAATAATTGCTACTCGTTGTATTAACATTGATAGGTTTGGTTCTATATTCGTATATTTCCATATTATATATAAAAAATAAAATGGAGCTACTTGTTATAAAATAAGTTGCTCTTGTGTGCTCTACTCAGCATCGAAAAACTAATGAACACAAAAAACGCTTGTTAAATTTGGACACTGCAGTTTTCAACTAATTGCTATTGTATATACATTGTATATTGTATATTTACATACCAATACCAAAACAGTATATATAAAGGCATATAAGCAATTGCAAAATTTTCTTTATACCACACAATCCTTAATGATTTCAGTAGCGAGTGAATTATATTTCAGAATCATTTCATTTTAGTCGACCATTCAACGGTCCTAACAATGGGTAATTACAGTAGTCGGCATAAGAGTATTTTCGCGAAATAAAAAAACCGGCTTTGTGGCATGGGGCATTGTCCTGTTGCCGGATAAGTGATTTTTCAATAAGTCTATTTTCGAACAGAAAGTCATAATCGTTTAGGGTAGTTAAATTTCAATTTTTGGTTCATCTAGTGGGCAATAGGAACAAAGTCACCCAGCCCATTATATACAACACATCCCCAGAATATGACAGAGCCTCCACCATGGCTCACTTAATTCGCCTTTGGAAATTTTTCTAAACCTTTGGAAATCATACAAAAAATATGTTTTTTGATGAGTTATACTCAAAGGAGCTTTCATTCTATCAATAGAACGTTTCTTCAGAACTCTTATGGCTTGTGCAGATGTTCCGTATCGAAGACCAGTCTTTTAAGCTTGTTTGCCTTTGATATGTACGACACTTCCTTAAATTTTGTTGTCTTAAAATCTTCTTGCTTTAATCATCTTCGGACAATGCGCTCACTAATTGGATTCTTGATCGTCAAATTCCATTCATCTATAGCAGATTGAAGCTTCAGAAAAATATTCTTAATGAATTCCCTTAGATGGACTTAATCTTCAGTGAGCGTTGTTTTGCGCTTATCACCTAAATCTTACTCTCATTATATTATACATTGAAATAGTCTATAAATTTAGTTCTATTTAAAAGTTTTGTAGAGTTAATATTTGTTAATATTATCTATATTCATATTTTTTTATTTTATACATTTTTTTAGAGTTACAACGAAAACAAACATTCCAAAATATCAACGCAATGAATTTAGTACCCTGCGACGTTTTAGTGATTTTCTAGGCATACATGATTTGCTAGCTGGCAAATACACAAGACTTGGAAAAATAATTCCACCGGCACCGTCAAAAAATATAATTGGTAAGATATTAATTAATTATTGTTTTTATATTTAATAAAGATTATATAATTATTTTTAAATATATTAAATTCATAATATATGTAAATATATATATTATACTAGGTGATATTCAAACCTCATCTTTGAGCCTTAATTAGTATAATATAGGTATATGTAAGAAGATCTTAATATTATTCAATAATATTTACATAAAATGGATGGACTTACGGGTGTTAATAAGCGAAATTACTGCAGTGTGTCCACAATGGAACAGATTAATACTGTTGCATTTAAGTATTCTTTCTACATTACATAAAAAATAGTAATAAATATTTTTTAAATTTGTCCAGCTTAACTATTTAAAAATTGTATTCATAAAAGCATATTCCGTAATCTTATTGATAATTTATTAGGAGAGTGTATTTTAGTCCAGAACTACGCCTTAACATGTTCCTCAACAAGGTGTCTGATAGAAAAATGATTTACAGTTGAAAGAAACTGGAACACTTCAGGTAACCGCCAGGCTAAAGAACTATTGTATTTGTTTAACTACGCTAGGATAACCTTTAATAGTAGAGTGGAATTGAGATTTTTGCAGGTTATCTAACGAGTCACCATGGCCTGCGTTATCATTTTAAAAGAGTGGGTCTGTCTGAGAAGACAGAAGGTGTCTACTTGGAGACGGATGGAACTCTAATTATATTGTTTTGACTTTCATTCGAATGGTGAAGTGTCTTCTGCTGTGTTAGGTTCGATAAGTAACACAAAAGATCAGTCCTAGTCACACTGTTTTACTGTCTGTCTACTATTCTCTTTTTGTGTTTTGAGGCAGGTCTTGAAGTTATGTTATCTTATTTCTTTTGAATTATTACCCACACAAATGCTTAAAATATTAACTTATTAATCTATTAAATATATATAAAACGTTATGTGATAATATAACACTTAGTCATATATCCAGAACACAACAAAAATAGTCCTCGATTTAATACGTTACAAAATATTTTTAAATAATCTTTCATACTCTACAACTCTGGTTTTAGAGAGTTCTAAAAGAGTTTATACATATGTTATGTATGATATATTAATTTAATATGTGGTATATCATATTTATTTTTTAAGGAAGCACAAAAGTTAAGATGAGCCCACAACAAACTGAACCGGGATCTGCGGTAAATCTGGAATGGGTTGAAACCCGTCGTGCCGCATTGCAGCGTTATGTTAATCGCACTGCTCAACATCCATTATTGCGTGTTGATTTAGATTTTATAAATTTTTTAGAAAGCGATCAGGTAATGGAAATGCATTAATATTCATATAAATACATTCAATAATATTATCTTTTAACAATAATTTTAGGAACTTCCGCGGGCTGTGAACACATCTACAATTAGCGGCGCCGGTGTTATGCGATTTTTTAATAAAGTTGGTGAGACTGTTAATAAGATGACATATAAAATGGATGAAAATGATCCTGTAAGTTTAATTCGTAGGAATATTATAAAAATAATAGAAGAGTATTTACTTTTAATGTTAAAAGACTAAAATCATGGATTTAATACACATCAAATGTATATATATTCTTCTTCTTTATATATATATTAGATTATATATTTTAAAGACTTTTAAATATGAATAATAAATAATAAGTTAAATATTTTTATTTTAGTGGTTTGATGAAAAGATTACTGAAGTGGAGAATCTTGATGCCAATTTACAAAAATTACACTCAGCACTTAAGTCACTCGTTACAACGCGTAAAGAATTATCAGCTTTAACAGGGCTAGTGGCAAAATCCGCAGCAATGTTAAGTACTTGTGAAGAGCATACGGGTTTGTCACGTGCACTTTCCAACTTAGCCGATGTGGAAGAAAAAATCGAAATTCTACGTTCTGAACAAGCAAATTCTGATTTCTTTATTTTATCAGAATTTGTTAAAGATTATTTAGGTTTATTTGGCGCTATTAAATGTGTATTTCATGAACGTGTTAAGGCTTTTCAAAATTGGCAATTTGCGCAATTGCAATTATCTAAACGACGGGAAAATAGAGGTCGTTTTGAATTATCAAATCGCACAGATAAAATGGAGCAAGCCCATCAAGAAGTATCAGAGGTGAGTTTGTATTTAAATTTAATATCTGTAATTTTAATTTTATATGTTTATTTATTATATATTGCAAATTATTGCTTGCAATATTAATTTCTTATTTTTAAAATTATTTTTTCTATATTTTATATCCGGCTATAGGTCAACGTTTATTTAATCTTTTTTTATATATTCTATATTTCGACTTTCATTGAGACTCATCATCAGGATCAGGATCTAACATAAATTAATATTAATATTCTTTTTCTTATTTATTTCTTGTTCTTATTCATTTCTATTTTTTATTTGTCTTTATTTAAATTTATTGTTTGTTTTTACTATTATTATATATTATTATTATTATATTATTATTATTATATTATTATTATCATATTATTATTATTATTATATTATTATTATTATTATTATATTATTATTATTATTATTATTATTATATTATTATTATTATATTATTATTATTATTATTAAATTATTATTATTATACTTTATTGTACTTTTGTTATTATTTATTTGTTATTTATTTCTTTTTGTTTTATTTTTCACTTTTTTATTTTAAATAGTTTTTTATTGCAATTATAAATTTTTGATTTTTATTTATATTTTATTTATTTATATATTTTTATTTTGTTATATTATTTTATTTTTATTATAAATTTTTACATTTATATTTTTTTTTATTTATATTTTTTTATTTATATTATTCTTTTTATTTATTTTTCATATTATTTTTTTGCTAAAACATTTTTTTTTGTATTTGTAATATATATAATATTATAATGTTTGTGTATATATTTTTGTCCTTATAATGTTATTATGTTTGTGTATATATATTTTTGTCCTAAATTTATATTATATTTGAGCATGTTATTGTTGTAACCGGTTGCTGTTTCATTATCCACTTACGGAAATCTGGTTCGCTTTTGTGTAGATCTCCAACAAATGTGGTTAACAGCAGTTTGTCGCCAATAATAACAAACGGTTGTAGAAGGTGGCCTTATAAGCCACTTCTGAAACCATCTTTACATAATCTATTTTACCAGTAATTTGCATTTATGTATTATATATATATAAAATGTTTTTTGCAACTAAAATTTAATTTAATTTGATTTTTGCATAAATTTTTCCAGTGGCAAATTAAAGTTCAACGTTGCCAGCAACAATTTGATGACATATCCGCTGAAATTAAAAAGGAAATGGAACGTTTCGAACTGAATAGAGTTAGAGAATTCAAAGCAAATATTGTGAAATACATCGAAGATCAAATGGCACACCAGCAACAAGTAACAATTTAGTTTCATTTATATATTTAACTTTTTATATTTTAACTTTTCTTTTCATTTTATAGATAATTACATATTGGGAAGCGTTCGTTCCGTCAGCTAGAGACATTAACTAAAACTACTTTGTTTTCAGTATTGAAAAAGTATAATTTGTTGTATTAAAAAAAAATTTTTCTGTAATTGTTCAAATGCTAAGCAGCGCGTAATTGTTTTATTGTATAATTAATTATGTATTTATTATTGGGACCAATTCGCAAAATTTGAATTTGAAATTCTTAACGTCTGTCGAAAATTTCCCAGTTTTCTTATATTGCCTGCTGCTGCTACTGATTTACCTCGACTTATGTACATTTCAACACGAATATGCTTATTTAATAAACAAAATACACCTAAACGTTCCATGTGTATTTAAAATGCATTATTTAATTATGATTAATATAAATATAATTATTACTATTTTAAATCGTTTTTGTATATAAATTAAATGGTAAATTTGTAACTATAACTATATTGTTCAAAAGGAAGAAAATTTGTTAAAAACGTTTTCAGATACAGCATAGCTCTTTATTATATGCGATATTGCAGATATATATAGTTTCGTATTAAAGTTTATATATAGAAGCATTTGCGAAATTAAAACTAATTGGGTATTATCAATATCATATTTACTTATGATTTAAAATAAATATATATATATATATGTATACAAATAGAATGAAATATTTGAAATACTTTCAACATTGTAAATTTATTTTGTTTATAAATTAAAGGAAAAATGAAATTTGTATTTGAAATATAAATGAATATACAACTTATTCAAAATTGTTTTTTAATTCTCCTTCACAAATTTTAAGATATTAAAATAAAAAAGTTAGGGTATATATAAATATTCGAATTAAGTTTGAAATTGGATTAGAAGGCTTTCTTCAAAATTAACACAATTGTTCTTGTAGCTCTTAAGGATCTGTAAAGCAAATAACATGAATAGAATTATGAAGACGTATACATGGGTAAGGATCTGGATAGGTAATGATAGTTTGAGAGAGGAAGGAGGAAGTTAACACAATCTCATTAGTTATAATTTACCATTGATGTTTCTAAAAATAGTAATTATCATTAATTAAAACGTTTCTCTATTTTAATAGTACTTATGTTATATGATGTTTACGAGCATACGATGAATTTTCAAAATATTAGTGCTAAAAATATTTTTCATAAGCATATTTTAAAAATCTACATATACTACATTTAAACTGTTGAGGGTGCCATTCCAGTAATAAGAGGATGGATAAATTAAATAGAGTTAAAGATTCTTTCTTTACAACCGTGGTTGTCATAACATTAGAATAATATATAATGCACTATTACGGTGATGTTTAAAAATTTTTAATAAAAAATTTAATTAATTCGTTTGATATAAATTGTTCAACGTAGTGATGTCATGAAAGTTGTTTTTATTTCTTCATTATGTTTATTTTTCATATTGTGTTTTTGTTTAACGTTGGTTTTTTTTTAAATATGTTTTCAATGCATAAATATTTATAATATGTATAATCGATAATTGACTTTAGTTTTGTTAGCAAAACAAAAAAAAATTATATGATCGTTATACATAAAAACAATTCTCTGCAGATTCTATGCAGTGAAAATCTAATCCGACTAAGGGACACAAAAGATCTCTTAGTTCGCAGTGTACTATTCATTTTTCATAATAATAATATACATAAAAATATTTATTACAATCATTATTATTATTTTATTAAAAAAATTCAATAAATATTCAATATCAATATGTTTATTACAATTATTTATTTTATTATAAAAATATTTTCACAAAAAAATTTAACTTAGTAAACTATCAAAACTTTAAATAATTTAAATTATATTTAATTTTAAGTTATGGCAACCCTGAAATTTTTTTTTATTGACATAACATATGTTTTTGACAGTTTTGTTTTTTTATTTGGCTCAGTGTAAAGAAATTATCTGTCTGTTTGGGGTTATTTAATAATAAAAACAGAAAATGGCTTGCAGACGCATTGCAAAAGAACTGAAAGTTCTTAGCCGAAATAGTAATAAATTGTATGCGTTAGTTTCTGGGCGTAATTATAGCGATCGATCGGATATTGACAAAGTAACACACACTGGACAGGTATAAAGAACCAACAACAAATATCTGCAGAATATGTTACGCAAACTTTTTTGCTCCCAGTGCTCAATTTTATATATTGCGTTTATATTTGATTTTATATTATTTTGTAGGTATTTGCTGAGGATGACTATCGCAATGTACGTTTCACAAATGCCAAACGTTATGTTAACGAAAATTGGGGAATCGAATTAATAGATAAAATACCACCCAAAGAAGTTACTGAACGTGTTGTTTACTGTGACGGCGGCGATGGTGCACTTGGTCATCCAAAAGTTTACATCAATTTGGTACGTATGTTTTACATTATATTTAGGTTTTTAATTTATTTACAAGGAACCATATTATACTGTAAAGAGAAGTATAGTGTTCGGTTTTTCCATACTTAACGTTGCAAATAAAGCTGTTATTGTTTATTAAACCGACTAAAGTATAAATCTAAAGGATAAGGGTTGCTTGTTGTTGTTATACCTTACTTTATCTTCTTTTCCAACCTTGTCTGTCCGTCCAAACGGTGAGCATAAAATGTTAATTATTGTTTTGAAACCTCTTTCAAAGCGTACATTAAACGAAGCCTTAAACAGAATGGATATACAGTCAAAGCTTTGCGTCACATATAAATGGCATTCGACTGCTCACATAGAATCATAAAGAACGTGTAGACGCAAAATGTATAGTTCTTTTTTTGAAAGTTGAGTGACACGAGGAAGGACATATATTCTCCTATAATTACTCATAAAACCTACGAATTCTTTCACTATTTCTTTGCTCTATATTCCCTTTTTAAGTAATATTCTGATCAGTTTATATTTTGTATTTTTGGGACGCCAATATAATTTACAACAGGAATAATTGGTGAAGACGTATTTCAGATCAAATGCAGCAACTTCGATTGTATTATAAATTTCACAACTACCTAGAGTTATATATACTACCTAGAAATATACTCGTATATTAATCCTGAGGTTTTTATGTTCTCTTTTCTAGATAGAAATTAATAGCTTGTTCTACTATCGAAAATATTGTACAAATATTTCTGATTGGAAAAGCAATCGCAAATTTCTGTCCATGCACTCTATTGAACGATAGTTTAACTACTTTCAAGTTTTAATAAATATGTCCCTGTTTTTTCATTCATTGCTATTGGATATTATCGTATAAGAGATGCAGGAGGTGAAGTGGTTTTTACATAAACTACTTGAGTAGTAAAAGATAGTTTATCTTTGAAGATAATTTCCATAGATCAAAAGATGTTGAGACTTCGGAGAGTATTTCTTACTGCTTCACACTATATGGCTATATTTTAGACATGCCTCCTTGGCAGCTGTGGAGTTAGGACAGTTCTTGCTGCATGGGGGAGATGTTGTTCTACCAGGGGGATGTTAGGCGAAGGCCTGTTGACAACCTTGGTCTTGAATAGGATACTGCAATAGTGTGAAGGGCTAGAAGTCCATGTTTCTATTCGACCTCCTGATGTGAGGTCCATTTCATAAGTCGTTACTTCCTTTGATATTTCTGCTATATAAAAATTTCACCTTTGATTTTTTTTTTATTTTTCTAAGACCTTGTGGTAATAATACTTCTGTGTAGTTTTAAGAGTGACTGCCTCTAGGTTTTCAAGTTAAGCATCTATGGCAATCAAGTGCCACTTGCCTCTCCTATTTAAATTCCTTTGGTCACAAAAACGATTACCTGATAGAGGTTGCAATAACGTTAATAACATAAATATTATTATTTATTAACATAAATAAGCGTTAATAAAATAGTCTCTCAGTATCGCCATTACTCCAGATTCTCTGTATGTAACCTTACCCAATCTCACATTTTAATAATAATTTATTATTTACTTTTTGGTTTGTGTTTTTGTTTTTGTTTACAGGACAAACCTGGCGCACAGATATGCGGCTATTGTGGCTTAAGATTTGTTAAGAAGGATGAACACCATTAGAAGCAATTATTTAATAATTTCAAAGCAGACAGCGTTATTTTAAAATTTTAAATAATTTGCATATAAATTAAATTGTTCAAATTAATCAGAAAAATTAATAAAAACCAAATAAAAAAAAAAATCAAAAAATTAAATATGTTTTTTAATTTATTTATTATGAAAAACATATTTTCCAATTGCACATAAAACACTTTTTTAGGTTCAAATTTGATTATTGTTTGTCAAGACCTAAAAAAATGACTTCATTTAAAAAGGTATATGAATAAAAAACATACCATTAAAATATTATAAAATTAAATAAACAAATAATTTTAACATCAATGAATAAATAGTACACAAAAAAAATATATATTTAAAATGTTAAAACTAAAAATTATTTGCTCATCAACTTAAACCATTTCATTAAGTTAATTTAAAGTATATTAAGTTCGATATAATATATAACAACATTCAAAACGAAAATATTTAAAAAATTTATTCAAATAAAAATATTTGCTAAATATACAATTATTTTTGCAAAATAATTTTTTTTACTAAAAGTCTGCAAAATTATTTAATTTAAAATATGCACGATGGCACCCAGTTTTTAATAAAAATTATTTTAAAATTAAACTCGCACTTAAAACCATAACTTTAACAAAATATATATCTTCTTGGGTGCACAAGTTACTTAAACTAAATATGCATATTAATAAACTCGAAAGCATATTAAATATAATAATTTATAATTAAATCAAAAGCTAATATAATAAATTAATTTTGGCTGTATTCAGTCGAAAGGGTCAATTGAAGTTATTGTATATATAAGTATGTATGGTATATAATTTAATAAGAAAAGAAAACAATATTAGTTTGCTTGGTTAAGAGTTTGAAAGATATTAATAAATATATTAAGTGATGTATGTTGTATCTATTACAAAGCATTTTCTACTGGTGCTTATAAACGTTTTACAATAATGTCTTTTTACTTAATTTTATTTGGTATTTTAGATGCACTTCACTGAGACTGAGACTGAAACTGAAACGTATCAATTCATTTTGCTTGTCTTTGCTCTTTAAATAAAGCATTTAATATGCTTAAATTTACAATTATACTTGCTAAAAAAAAATGTAGTATTCATTGATCATTGATCTTCAAACTTAAATTAAAATTTATCTATAACTAATAAAGCAGATTTCTTATATTTGAAAGAGAATTAAACACTTGTCGCTGCGCGCGGCACTCTTCTCCAGCTGCGTCCTACTCTTTAAGTATAGAAGCTGACATTTTTTTGAGATATGTTATTGAAAACAAAATCATGGTAAGGAAGTCGAGGAGTTCAGTTTATGCAAAGATAAAGTCAGCATAAAACAATGTGTTCACGATTTGCTTAAGTTCTTATACATATATATATGTGTATACACATACATAGAGGACTATGTTACACATATATCTATAATTGTTAGCAAATTTAAATTAATCGTAAGAAATGAAAATATTCTCATAAAATACAATAAATAAGTTTCATTTGTGTGAACAGAAGTTTTTTTTTTTACAAAAATCACAACAATCCGAACTGCGTGGTACGCAGGACAATCCATTGCCAAATTTGTATACACGTTAAGTGTTTGCAACAACAAATTGTTGTATCCAATATGCACATTCAGTTAATATGCACTGTCAATCAGCAATTTCTGTTTTCGCTACTATCATCATCTGGTGTTGTGTGTAGTCTCAGTTGGTTTTCATCTAAAACACCAAATTTTTAATAATCTATAAATGTAGTATATAATTATAATTTGAATTTTTATTAAAGTTATTAAGCCAACGTTCAGTTGATTAAGCACCACTGGTCACCAGAGATTACGTGGCATGGCGTAACCTTCTTTTGTTACATAGATATTGCGATCCGAATAAACTTGTTCAGTGGGATTTAATTGCTTTGCAGAGTTTTGTCCTGTTGAACCGTCAAATGATGCAATGGTTTCAGTTTGTCCGTTTTTAGTTTGTGTAATTGTGGTACGCTTGTTACCCTGAGAATCTTGTGTGATTTTAGTTGTTTCATATGTGCCATCTGGCTTACGTATAGTTTTAGTCATAACACTTTGACTAAACATTTTTGGCCCCTGAAATAAAAATTCATTATTAATATAAATCTTAGGCGGATATGTTAATATACTATATATGCATATTTAATTATACAATTAATTATTGATAATTAATCAAGAATCTACTAACTTACTCCCTAACTTTCCCCTCTACCCCCACTCATCCATTACCCATCCATCACCCATCCACACCCTAAAGCGAGTATTATACATTAGACTTGGTCGTAAAACTTGTGCGACGTCGCTTGCTATTACACATCCGACATAGTTGACATTATTTTGAAAACACCCCCGCAAAAAAAAACAACAATTACCTAAACTAAAAAATAAAATCATGCATACATTTAAACGATGTTTTTGCTCCCATCCCTTAAAATAGAATGAAATTTGCATGTAAGCCGACAAAAATCCGATTGTATACGAAAAAAACACGAAAGAGTCGGATGAAAAATCAAATTATATTGATTTCCATCCGACTTTTCGTCAGCCCTGTAAATATTGCTATTACACATGAGACTAGGCACATACTTAACTAATGTATTTGTTGTTTGATTCCTTTCATGTTATCTACTTTCCAGATCCTTACCACTCTCCCACAACAACATCAATTAATTTTAATTTATTCTGTTATCGTGCCCATCGTGTACATTACAAGTATGCATATATCTAACTGAACATTCTATATAAAATGTATATTAAAATAATTAAAATTAAAATTAAAATAATTAATTTTGTTGTCGAACACATCTCATAGGTGTACAAATTCTCCGTACACAACTCATAGGTTCAGTTAAACAGGTTCAATATTCAATTTCTTTAGCGAAATTATTTTTTTTTTTGTTGTAATCGACTCAACTCTTGACAAACAGATTTTACTCCGGGCTAAGTAGCCCGAATTGAGAAATAAAACTTTCGCTCGATAAATAAAAATCACGCTCTACAAGTTTCTTATTATGTCTATCCTGTGCAGAAGTTTGGATAATTACCAATCGTAATAAGAAGGTGTTAAGAGCATTCGAGAAAAAAAATTCTTTAGAAGATCTTTGATCCTTTACGCGTTGGCAAGGAGTACCGAATTGACAACATTGACATTAGTTAAGCGCATAAAAACTCAGCAACTTTACTAAATCGGTCATGTCGTGCGAATGAAAGAAAGTATTTCGGCTAGTAAGGAGTTTGATTCAGTACCTGCAGATGGAAAATGCGGTAGAGGTTGTCCGCTTCTTCGGTGAAAGGAGCAGGTGACCAATAATTTGGTTGCGCTCGGTACTACCAACTGGCGTTGGTAGCCGGAGCGCAACTGATTGCTGCCGGAGAATACTGGTCGCTGTCAAGCATGTCTTAGGTCTGTAATGGTCAACTAATTAAATAAGTAATTAACTCAAAACCCCTTTCTTGAAATAATCATTTTAGATTTGAGTACAGAAAAATGTCATAAAAGGCCATGTCAAGTCAAGTGGTTGTTGTTGCAACCTGAATGAATCTGCTGGAATTGTCTCTATTGGGAGTGAGCAATACTCAGTCATCTGTGTACCCAAGCAAATACGGAACAAAGACTGGATACTCCCAAAATTACTTCAGTTAAGTGCAGTACATTGTTCAGTGTCGGACATTGTTCACTCTCGACTTCTCTATATTCTCTATAGAATTGCGCATACAAATTATTTATTCTCAACAGCAATTATATCGAATTAAAAAAAAAATTAATTTTATTCAAAAATGATCATTATTCCTTCATGATCATTAATTTCTTATCAATAATGATTGGGAAATGTTAAAAATTTTATCGCAAATACAAAATTTTTATTTACCTGATAAGTACCATCGAAGACTCCTCCGCCATAAGTGGGATTACGCGGCACCATTGGCGTCATCGGTGTCATCATTTCAGGCCGTGTTCGAGCCCGCGGACGTGGTTCCTCGTCAACTAGGGTACCATGAATTCTACCCATTATTGTTTCCTCATCACTTAGTTTATTCTTCAACATAACACGGCGTTTCAAATTGTCATTAGGGGGCAAGATATCAGGGTGAACGTCACCAGGTGCTAAACGCTGCATGAGTGAATGCAATTGATCCGCATAAATTCTGAAAAGATAGTAATGATAGCTTATCTATCGTTTTGTTTTTAATATTAATTTATTGAATTAATCGTTATGACTTGGTGGTTTCTTGTTTTCATGTTTCTATATTTTCTTAACGTACTTATCTCGTGCCATGTTTGCTTTTCTAACAAAAAATAAAAACAAAAAAAAATGTGTTTAAGAATTAAAAAAAAAGTTAGTTGAATACACAAAAATGACATCAAAAAATAAATAAATTATATTTATAAAATAAAATAAAATACAGCAAATATGCAACATATTTAAAAAAAAATGAAATATTAGCTAAACTCAAGATGGGACGTAATTCAATTATACGATTATACGTTAGATAGAAGTGTACTATCCATTAGTACAAAACCATAATGTAGATATGGATATGTTCCTGAATTTTCTAAATTGTTATGAAGTTTAGAAAAACTAGAATGCAAGAACGGCCGGGTCTACGTCCCGGAGTCGCTCGTCGACGGTGACGACCAAGGACTTCACAAGTGGGTCCCAAGGGAACAACAACAACATGACAGTAACATAATAGGATAAAACAACAAAACGAGTGAGTCCTGTTAATAACGAAAGTAGTGGTCTTTATTATAGTATACAGGTAATAATATGTACCATATATTATGGTTCTAAGAACGGCCGGGTCTACGTCCCGGAGCCGGTCGTCGCCAGCGACGACCATGTGCCGTTAAGTATCCCCCAATGAGATTTTAAAAGCAGATCCTCACGGGCTACAGCAATCATCATATGTTATGGACTATGGTATTAATATTTTATTCGCTCTTTTTCAAGATAAAGTGGTCCTGCATTTCAGTGGGATTTAGATCAATGGAGTGCAGTGAAATAATTGAACAGAAAAATGACGTTAAGGTATACAGTTTGCGCATAAGGCCGGAAGAGGCGTATTGTTTTATTGTAAGCAAATATTTAGCACCAGGTCATAACCAGATTGAAGCTAGGGAAGAACAGTTCCATAGACAATTGCTTGAGATAGGATAAGCGAATAACTGTGGAGAACCGAATCACTATAAATGGTCTGGTATGGTATGGTCTTTATGCATATTGCATCGGATACTCGTCGGTGTATTCAATACTCGTCAAATACATTCAAGTCTAATTGTGTGGCATGCAAGGACCAATCAATCAAAAAGCACCAAATTGTGTTCTTTTCCTAATAACATGTATACACTGAAAACTCTATTACCGAGTTTCCCAGTTAAAAAGGCAGCCTCATAAGGTAACAATTTTTTTTTAAAAATAATTAAATTAAATAAAATAAAACTAATAATAATAATATTAAAAATTAGTTTTCGGATCTCATTCTTAATAAATTCTTAATAAATTTAATCATAAAAAGAAATGTTAGCAGTTAATATTGTAAGGACTATATATTATCAACTATATTATCTATATAATCTATAATAAAAGTTAATTACACCTACCGACTTTTGAATACTTACTCTCCATCTAAGTCAGTATCTAAAAATCGTTTCTTATGTTCTTCAAATTCTTTCATCATATTTTTTTCATAGCCCGGTTTCAAGAATTCATCCTTCAGATTTTTATTAAAAGAACCTTCACCATTTTCTGTTTTGTGTTTTTGTTTAAATGAAATAAAAATAATAGTTCTTTAGTATATATATATTATGTTATCCAGACAATATATTTACCTTCTAATTGACTGATTGCTTCAAAAACTTGTTGCATCTGACTCTCAAAATGTTTTTGAAGCTCCATGGGATTAGTAAAGATTTGAAAAGCAAATTTCCTATTATCATCAAAAAGTTCGTCATCGGTTTCAGCTTCTTCAAACCATTGAGGTTTACGAAACTCATCGGAAGTAGATTTTCTGTAAGAAGCAAACATTTGTATGTTAGTCACTATTTTTATTTAAATAACAATAATAATTGTTTAATTTATTTAGAAGCAAATATGTGCAAGTTATTTATGAGAAGGTGATAACAATGTATATAGGAAATAAAAAAATTAGATATAAATGTATTGAATTTGTTATGTGCCAAGTTAGCGTATTTCTCCAACTTAGACTTTTTCGATTTTCTCGAATCCCTCCTAGGAACTTAAAGCATCAATGCCGGGCGAACTCCCAGCACGAACTTTGACTTCTCATTTATTTCCTGTAAGTTCCATAGAGTAAGTCCCCAATTGTAAAAGGTGTTAATTGAACCAACAGTGCCCTATTAAAAGTCGCGTAATAATTCTTAGTTGTTTTTATTTACAATAGTTGCAGCATACAACGCTTAATTCGTTTTAAATTGATAGTCCTTGTAATCGATTTCGATTGTTATAGCCCTAGTACATTGTCCAAGTATAGCTTTCTCTGTTCTCTTCCAGCAACTCCTTAAATTTTTCCTATAACACAACATGGGTCTGCACTTCAAGTTCAGTTCAAGTTTATTTTTCATTTTCACATACAAATTATATCGCTGTTGTTTGAACCTCGATTTTAGAACTTACACTATAAAGTTTCTGCTGTAGCATATACAATCAACCAATAAGCACTTTCGATGGGAATTATGAATAGCAATTGGTCGTATATATTACCGAATGTCTCCAATACCAGATGTAATCCAATATGGATTTCAAAGTCAGATATTGTTACTCCGTACTAGAAGACGGCAACGTTTATGTCTAAGTTAATAGCCTCCGACGACCAGGTACAACTCACCACTTCTGTATATATATTCTGTATATATATATATATGTATTCTGTATATTCTAAATTAACATATTCCTATAATATTTATAGACATGCTATAATCTATCTCAGAGCTGTTCAAATCAAGGCCTATGGGCCACACGCGGCTCGCGGCTATTATATGTGCGGCCCGTAAAATGTTTTTAATCTACCAGTCCTGATCTATTTCATTACATTATAAAATATGCACCAACAAAGAACGTTTACACAATCATTAAATATATAAATAGAAAATAATATATTTGATTTAGCTTTGGATAAAAAAGTTTTAATTTTTTGTAGAGATGATGGATAGCATAATAGATAGAGAGATAATAACGATTTAAGCAGTCCGTAAAGTAGAATAATGTGCACTAAAAATATATTTATGACTACAACAGATGCTAACTGAACAAAAGGCATTCCTCTTAATTAACAAAAATCAGAACGTTGTTGATGGACTGCTTATTTCAAACGGGATCAAAATTTCCTACCCAATTATTTTTCTTTTGACCGAAAAAGACCTACACAATCGAATAGTAACTCGTAGTCACTTTTTCGTTTAGAAAAACTTCATTTCATTACATCACACAGTTCTGTCTTGTTCAGATTGTAGCGTAAACCAAGATGTCCTGTTAGTTAAGCCAACAACGACATTAACTCCATATTCCTGCGAAAAGTTGTTTCTTTGCTATTAAAAGAACGAACCAACTTCTTATTCCGTAATACTACGGCGGTGTTGTCATTTTTCGATTTTTTCTTTCAATAGTCAGGATTTTAATTGTGATATATATAGTAACTAACTTTATAAAATAGAAGAGATCCGTAAAATTTCATAACGAAACCGATTTTGTTATTTTCCCCGCACTTGACTCCGCAACATTAATCAGTATTGGCCTGCTGGAAACTTAGACTCGAGAAACAGAAAAGTGTATTTAACCTAGGTACCGTTCAGGTAAAGCAAAACTATGTTATTGTTATTGTGATAATTTGTGAAGGTCTACATGGCAACTAACATCAAAGAAATCACTAATACAATAAAGGAAGTGCTATGTGCATAAGAGTGGATGAAAGATAGTTGAGATTTTAATTGAAACTAATCTGAGTGATAGCAGGAAAACATAGCCACTTTAATGGGTCTAAACCAAAGTTCAATTGGACTTAAATTTGCGTATGCAATGGACCATGAAAATAGACGGGGAACATCATAGGAGGTAAAACTGCAGTTAGGGCACACATTGCAAATAGAAGCATTTATACATGACAAATATCTGTTCAGCGCATGGTTATATTCTGATCTGAATTGGGTTAGAACAATTAATGCTACACGGGCGTTAATTAGACGGGGTTCTATTGAGAACTGTATCGGACTTCAACCATGGTCTCAAAAATAATACAATATTTGTTTGCAGAGCTGTTAGTCCACGTTTATATTTGATCCCATTAATGTTAACATTATTACAATAGATATCGATGTACACTTGATATAAAAAAGAAATTCAAAATTGTAACCGATGTTTAATGTGTTTGGTTAAATTAATAAATTTATATATAATGGGTTTGTACCTACTGAGGTGGATATAACGAGGGTAACGGAGCTTCAATTGCTAACTGGTGACTGAAGACCTGGACACCAAATTATGTAACTAATATATAAACACCGACTTCTAGGAACGTCCATTCAGGCATACAGGCTACTCAATTTAGTTCATCCCTCCCTAAAGGCATTTAGTAAGCATGTACGGATGTATGGATTATACCAACAACAGCATTAGTGGTAATTTTTCGAAGATATCGTGTAGTGGAGCGAAATACAAGAAATCAGAATTTAAAAAAATCGATTTTATTTGGATTAGAATTGTATAAGAATACGATAGAAAGATATTAATTTCAAATGGAAAGAGTATGTAGATGGAAGAGAAAAGCTTATTTGAAGTTTATATAGAACTATAAAAGCGGATTAATGTTAAAAAGACATAACCAGAATTTGTTTTAAATTAAAGAAATTATCTTTTAATTATAGAAAATATTATAAAAAATATATTTAAAAAAATATGTATTAAAAAATATATATTTTATAAAATATATATTAAAAAACATACTTTATAAAATATAATATTTTTCAAATTAAATAATTTAATTAATATTTCGTTTTTAAAATAAACTATAAAAGAAGATTATTAATATCAACAATAAACGTATAAGTTATTTTAGTGATTGAGTTAAATTTTGAAATTAATTCGCCGAGTTATTTAGTTATATTTTTATTAAGATGTAAATTCTATACGAAATTAGCCGTACTGTTTTTATGTAAAAACAGATTATAATGCATCTTCACAACATATTAATTAAATTTTTTGAATATATTCATACATTAGCACTAATTATGAAAATATATATAATTAATGCCAGTTAAAAGTTTGAAACGTTTGAAAAGTTTGAAACGTTTGAAAAGTTTGAAAAGTATGACAACGTATCTCTAATTTTATGGAATAAATATTTTTACAGCTACACAATACGCAGCCTCCAATAATTTTTATATCCTGACAGCCGCTTTTATAGATAGATACAGGCAGTGCATAAATTATCGATCTTTTTCAACTGGGCACTAATGCATGTGTATGTACGTATGTGCGTGCACTATATAGGAACGTAAAAAACTTTAAGCATTTTTGCATTATTGTTAGACAACTATATATCATCGGCATTTTATTTAAATGGTAATTAATGGATAACAAATTTATATAGTTACTTACTCCTTATCATTGTTTGAATGATCGCCTCCTTCGGTAATTTTAAACATTTTCCGTAAAATATCCATCTTCACTTAAAAGAGTTCCACAATTTATATGCCGTATATTATGTATAAGCTTTTGCAACTGACTGACGTTCTTAACACTTTACAAGGGCACAAGAATTAGAATCTAATTAAAATTTAAAGAAAATACGCATATTATTACGATGTTTGGTTTATTTGCTTTAAAAATAATTACCGATTTTTCCGCTTTTTAGAAAATGGTGAAAAAAAAACTCTGACACAAGAAAAAAATAATTTGC